AATGGATTTGCAATTCAAAATGTCAAAATGTCAAAATCTCTGCAGTGAAGTAGGAATTGAGGGTCTCTTTCCTCTTCTTGTCCCCTTGTCACCTTCTCCAGGTGGTAGGTCCTTTCCTTCTTTTTCTTCTCATACTATAGATGAAGTCCAGACACTGCAAGCTCAATTAGAGCAGCAACAGTTTACAGTAGTTATGTAATATCATTCCTCAAAATCAAATTTTCATTTATAACAACTGGTATTTCCAAGTAACTGTTATTACAAGATGTGGAAACCCAGAGCAAAATGTGAATAAACTGTAAGTTTATTATTTTAGCTATTTATTTACTAAATAGAGATTGCTTATTCAAGGAATGTCATTTTCTTTAGTATCTTTTTGACATAATGCTTTGATTCTATGACTTTTAACTGACCTCCACCTCTTCCTTGTTTCTCCATATAATAACTTTTATATCCTTTACATTCCTTCCTTCCTTCCATCTCATCTCCTAATATTATTCCTGTACTGTATTAATTATCATATCCTAGTCATATATTTCTATGCAAACAGGATATGCTTATGAAAACTAAAAATAAACCCATGTGGACTTTTTAAAAAAAATATCTGAGGTAATAACAAAAGTAATAAATAGCCAAGTATGCTTCTAATCTTTTATTTGCAGTTCGGCACAGAGTTGGGAATTTGTAATTTTTATGACTTATTTCCATTATTTGTTGATCTCATACAAAGGGGTGTTTTCCACTTAGCACTGTCCAAGGGTAATCCCCAAAAGCTGTGGAAGGTTGGCAGCTGTTATTTTGCCAGAAAGTTTAGACCAGAGATAGTATGCAGCAGGTTCTGATCAGTTTTGGAGAACCGGTAGCAGAAATTTTGAGTAGTTCGGAGAACCGGCAAATACCACCTTTGACTGGAGATTTTACAGTATCCTTCCCCTGCCATGCCCACCAAGCCATGCCCACCAAGCTACCTTCACAGAACTGGTAGTAAAAAAATTTGAATCCCACCACTGGTTTTAGACTAAGGCCCTGGGAAAGGACGTAATCAAGATAGAGGAAGGAACAAAAGATAATCAAGATTGGGGACATACCCACATTATTTCATACCCAGTTATTTTCTTCAGTTCAGCAGTGAAGAAAGGCCTTAAACAATAACATCCAAACTTCAAAAGCTTGTTTGAACTGTGGTTCTAAGGAAATGCCCCGCATTGGCAGAATGCTTAGTACGTTGTATTTTTTTTCTTCACATTTTCTTACATCATACTCTATTCCTTGAGCAATTGCGCCGAGTTAGAAATGAAGCTTACAAGTTCCATGTTCTTCTGATAAAAGTATGTGAATGAATGGTTTTGTAATAAGATATAAATGGAAAGGATAAATATGTTTGTTCATTCTATGATCAGTGAGCTAAATTCTACGTTGCATGTAAACGCGTTTGAAGTCAGCACAGCACCACCAAGTTTTTCTGATTGTGCCTCACAGTCATTAAAATGAAAAGTTGTCAAATTTTTAAATAGCAATAGCACTTAGACTTATGTACTGCTTCACAGTTCTTTACAGTCCTCTCAAAGTGGTTTGCAGAGTCAGCATATTGCCCCCAACAATCTGGATCCTCATTTTACCAACCTTGGAAGCAGTGGTGGTATTCAAATTATTTTACTACCAATTCTGTGGGCATGTCTTGGTGGGCGTCATGTGGCTTGGTGGGTGTGGTGTGGCTTGGTGGGCGTGGATTGGTGGGCATGGGCAGGGTAAGGATACTATAAAATCTCCATTTCCATCCCACTTCTGGGGGAAGATAACTGCAAAATCTCATTCCCTCCCCATCCCACTAACCTGCTTTCCAGCTCCATTCTCCTGTGCAGGGCAACAAAAGAAGATCCAGCCGATCAGCTGGGACTTGGGAGGCAGTAAATAGATGGGGGCGGGGCCAGTCAGAGGTGGTATTTGCCGGTTCTCCAAACTACTCAAAATTTCCACTACCGGTTCTCCAGAACCTGTCAGAACTGGCTGAATACCACCTCTGCTCGGAAGGATGGAAAGCTGAGCCAGTGAGACTTGAACTGCTGGCAATCGGCAGTCAGCAGAATTAGCTTGCAATACTGTATTCTAATCATTGTGCCACCAAAGCTCATTAATATTTCTGGGATGCTGCTGGAATCTCCTTTAACATTGTTGCTGTTGGTTTACTGGTGATATTTCTCTCAGCTGCTGAGGGAATAATATTTCATTTCTACCCGATATTGACTTTTTCCTCTACGGCTAGAGTTTGAACAAACAAACTGACTTGGGACATGCCTCAGGTAGTGCAGAGAAATATTCATAGGCTTATTTGATGCTTTTAAAATCAAAAGTGTAGAAATTAATGACTGACTTTTAATTTGACTCTACATACATTTGTATATCACATTCCAAACATTTGCAGGTAGTACATTTCAACAATGTTTTAGTCCCGCTAGTGAAAAATGGGAACAAAAGGGTGTTTCTCAACAGAATCCAAATAAAAGTGGCATAAGCAGAAATTTGGGAGGAAAATCTACTAAAGGCATTTTTCTTGCTTGAATAATTTTGTGAGCAATTGATCCTTTGGAGCTTGCTATATTTTTCATTTCTCTGTGTTTTCTATACTTTCTCATGGAGATAAATTTAAATTTAATCCATAAAGGATGGATTTTCTTTTAAGTTATGACACCTTTTATGGATTAAATTTCAGTTTATCTCCATGGCAGGTAAGGCAATTTATGTGCTGTTTCAAAGTTTTCATCATAAAACACCCCTGGGAGGTAGGCTGGGTTGAGAGAAACCAAACCAATCAATGTCATCCTCAGTATCTAGACTAAAACAAGAAATCAATTCCACAGGAAGACTAAATGTACTTTTGTTGAGAGTGACAATAATAACAGAATTCTGCAAATCTCAATGGGTTGTTCCTGTCCCCTCTTATATGCCTGTGAATCAGCAAGTCTTCGGTCTCAGCATTGTCCTAATATTATTTGGACATTCCAGACTTTAAAAATTTGTTGCCTTGGTAATGAAGTTTGCAGATCACCTTCCTTGTTTTCTACACTAAACTTCCATAGCTGAGGTTAGTTTGTAGATGGCTCTAATTCCTGAGCTAATATGACTGGACGAGGGATTCTGGGAGTTGGAGTCCACAAGTCTTAAAGCTATCAAGTTTGAAGACCCCTGGTCTAAATCCATACTTTTAGCCATTATGTTACATTGGCTCTTTGACTGGAAACATTCACTTGTGGAAAAGCAAGAACAGTGAAATATGCAAGTTTATGCTATGTAAAGTTTTCAAAAGAGGTATTTCATGAAATAAATAAATAATAAATGACCTTTTTCAAATAAAACTTCCTCCTCTCTTCACATGTACATTCATGCAATTAATACTCAAGCTACTGTAAATCTAATTCTGAATTGCTCTTTATTCAGGTGAGCTACCAATGGGCATGTATTTCTGGAGTCTAGAGGCTCTAGACCATATGGTTTCCTCATGATTTGTTCATTCAGATTCTTCAAGGGAAAAAATGGGATTGTTACTCTGTGTACTATTGCGATTGTGCATCAGTTGAGCCTTGACTGAGATAAAACTTAGAAACTGAACAATATCATTCTTAGCATTTACCAGGATAGTTAATAGAGAAGATAAGGAGGTTAAATTTAGGAAATGCCCACTTCCCTGAACTTCCCCAGTCATCATTATCATTGCCAGTCATTCAGTTGTGTCCTTGGCCACTCTATAGATTAGCACTCTCTATGCCCCTCTGCCTAGCACCACCTTCTTCAGATCCACCATGGTCATCCCAGTGTCATCTTTTATAGTTTTCAGCCAGCAGGTGCTAGGACATCCCCTTCTCCTTTTTCTGCTGATCACTTCAAGCATGGTTGACTTTTTGAGTGAGTCAGCTCGTGTGGCATGAACGAAGTATGACAGCCTCTGGCAATCTAGGATTCAAGTGATATTTTTGGTGAGGTTTGTTCTAGGACTTTTTTGTTATTTATGCAGTCCATGGAATGCAGAGTAGTTTGCTCCAGCACCACAGTTCAAAGGTGGTTCTCCTATCTGCCTTTTTCAGAGTCCGAATTTCACATCCATAAGTAGCAATTGGACAAATTATTGCATTAACTAATCTGCATTTGGTTGTGAGGCTGATATCTTTACTCTTCCAGAATTCTTTTATTGTTTCAATGGTCTCATTGTCAATCTGCATTCTGTCCTGTGTGTTTCCTGCAGTTGTCGTTATCTTTGTTTTCTTGATATTAAAGTGCAGTCCACATTTTTCACTTTCATCTTTGATTCTCAGGATTAACCAATAGAAATCCTCCTTACTTTCTGCAAGTAATGTTGCATTATCAGCATCTTGGTGGCTGTTGATATTCCTACCACCAGTTTTTATCCCAATGGTAGATTCCTCCAAATGCACATTTCTCATAATTATTTCTGTGTACATGTTGAATAGTATAAGTGATAGGATGCAACTTTGTTGAGTGCCTTTTTCAGTATTGAACCGCTTTGTGTCTCCATATGCCATTCTTACAATGGCTGCAGTGCTGATCAGAGTACAATGACTAAACGAGCTGGATGTGGTGTGGTGATATTACCGCAGTCATAATCTTAATAAGAATGGGCGCTTACAAATTTTCTTAAAGAACTTTTCATTTTTGAGTGGGCACTTCTAAAATTATAGGCATGTTGCAGGTCTTGTCTCACTATCACAGTATAAGCTATTAATGAGGTCAACAAGTCATTTTGGCTATGCTCTTTCCAGGCTCAGAGGCAAAATTCAATGAGCACTAGTTGCAAGAGCATTAAAGGAAATTTTGGGGTTCATATCCTGATTAAATATAATGGCTGGCCACTATGGGAACAGAAACCAGTTTGTATTTCATCTGATCCAGCAAAATTTTTGTATGTGAATAGTGCAGGAAAAGGATGCATTCTGATGCCATTTTCTGTTTTTTGACCACTTATTTTTTGTGTTTTTACTTTATTGTAGGACAAACTGGATATAGCCCTGAATAAAATGTCAAAATTCACTGTAGGAAAACCATCGCATATCAAAAATGGTAATCGTTCAGTTTTGTTTCAATTGCGCTGATTGATCACAAAAAGGAAATATGAAGAACTGAGACTGAAATGCCTTGCAATGATATGCAAAAGTGTGGTTATGTTCATGTGTATGCATGCATATGTGTAGGGTAGATGGGTGTTTTCCTGTATTAAGAATAAAATATGCAGTTTAATTGCAAATGCATCGATTAAACTTCTTTCATGACTTTTAAGCTATAAAAGTAATTTAAGCACATGTTTAGCAGCTGTTAAACATTGTGATCAACTAGCAGCTTGATGCTAACACAAATATTAAAAGATACAAATACTATAATATGAAATAAAAGTACCACCTCACCACAAGATACAAACCAACTAATGTATAGCAGTTCCAAATCTAACCAAATACTTGGGTTGCAAAATCAACAAAGAAAAAAAGCCAAACAATGCATCATCAAAAGGAAGATCAGGACCAGCAAGCTGAGGTCACATGCAAGCAAGCAAGAAGATGAAAGAAAAGAAGCTAAAGATGAAAAGGACCAAAGAATACCTGATCAAAAAATGTCTCTTAGAAACAAGGGAGATCAAGCAGGGGTGGGATTCCGGTTGTTAACATTCTAAGCAGTTTGGAGAACTGGTTGTTAGAAGAAATTACCGATCTAATCCTGTAAGGAAGGCAGGAAGGAAACATTCTGGTGTTGCTTACAGAAACTGCCTCTCCGTTAACCCTTATTACATTCTTGGCAGGACTAGACTTCCTGTCTCTGGAACGTCTCTGGAGTTATTTTCCCCTCCTTTGCTGGTACTTTGCTTGTGTGGAGTGACCATTCAAAGTTACAATGGCACTGAAAAAAGTGACTTATGGCCATTTTTCACACTTACGACTGTTGCAGCATCCCCACAATCTTGAGAAGCCAGATGAGGAGATGCGTGCCTCGATGTGAGTGATACTGAGTTGGCCACGCCCAGCCAATAACATGACCACCAAGCCATGCCCACCAACTTAGCCATGCCCACAGAACTGGTTGTTAAAAAATTTGAATCCCATCCCTGAGATCAAGGAAGCACTGGAAATAATGAAGCAGCAAATAACAGTCAAGAAGATCAGCAGATACAAAGCTTGAATTGCAAATTACAGGCAGACTCTCCAATTCTAATTCAATTCAATAATTATGTGTTCTTTATAACAGCAGAAGTGTACATAGCTGCCAAAATGTACTGTATCTTGGACACATTTCAAATAATGTATCTGGCTACATTCTTGCACAAGCTAATTTGGAACTTTCTTCTATCAAATTAGTCACTTTTCAGACTGAGATGGGTGGCATGTAATAATAAATACAGTGGAACCTCCGGTCACAACCATAATTCTTTCCATAACTTTGGTCACAACTCGATTCGGTCGTGACCAGAAGTGAGACTGATTACGCATGCCCCTACAAAACAAAAATGGCGCAGAAGGGGAAATGGATGTAGAAAGGGACACAGCTATGTTTGATTGCCACCCGATTTTAAAATCACGACCCGATTTAAAAATGTTGTGGATTTTTTGGTTGGAACCCGATTTGGTCGTAGTCAGAAGCATTCGTGACCAGAGGTTCCACTGTAACTTCAGAACGGTTTACTTTTAAATAGACATGCAGAAATGTTGCACTGTGTAAGAGTTTGAGAAGAGGAGCAATGAAGAAATAAATAGATTGAAAACTAATAACCAGGCTGACATTTTCTAGATTTAGAAGCTAAGCAGCCAAGCTAAGCAAATATTTTAGATTAATAGTTTGATGGGTAGCTAGTGTTGTAGGCTATACCAGGAAGCTAAAAACAATTCTGGAAGAAAGCATAAGTTACAGACAGAGGCTTGGCATTCTATCCAGACTTGCATTCAGATGTAACCGCATGTCATTTGGCAACTTGAAAGATGGTTAAGCCCTCCATCCCAGGCTCCCTTTTATACCCACCCATTGTCTCCCATCACACAATTGATGTTTTTCCCACCAGCAGGCAGAGTTCAGTAAAGTTGGAATAATACCAAAATAATTCACAAATGCTGTCCTTAGCATATAAAAACAATTAACTTTATACACACACACACCTGTTCTGACATCATTACTGAGACAGAATTGAGCTTGACAGTTGAGGCATGAAAACTTAAGTTGGCACAGTTTTCTGCCAACTCAGAGATTGGAGGAATGACTCCTGGGGCAACTAAACTCTGCGGTGTTCCAAAATGATTTAATTACATTGTACTACGTACTGTCTAATATACTGCTGATATATTTCCAGATTCTAAGAATGCTTCCCTTGCAATGAAGAGCAGACAGAAAGCTATTAATGAGGTCAACAAGCGAAGAACCCTTTTGCAAGATAATAGCTGGATAAAGAAAAGGCCTGAGGAGGAAAGGTAAGGAAAGAACCCACTGGCTTTTTGGCAATATGGTCAGGCCTTGCAATTTCTTCTAGAACAGGGGTCTCCAACCTTGGCCACTTTAAGACTTGTGGACTTCAACTCCCAGTATTCCTCAGTGAATTTTGGGAGTTAAAGTCCACAAGTCTTAAAGTGGCCAAGGGTGAAGCCCCCTGTTCTAGAATCCTTATGTAAAATCCATGGAGGTGATTGACTTGTTTTCATTAAAGTCAGCTGGATTTTTTCAGTTTGGTTTTCTAAATACAGTAAATATTTTTCAAGTGGGTATTTGTAACTTGTAATTTACATACCTGAAGCCACCTCCCACTTGCATTTATTCCCTGCATAAACAGCATAGCAGTCATATTTTTCTGCTGTGTTTCCATGAAACTGTCTTTTCTTGTCCTGAGCCCATGAGGGAGTCAGTCATGAGTCCCTCTCCTGGCTTAACTTCTTAGTTAACTGCTGCTTAAACCATATCTCTTCCTATTCTGACACTTTTCAAGAGCAGAGTCTAGAAAATCTGTTAGGCCTTCTCTCTCTTGAGGAAAAGTCATGGAGCTGGAGAAATGACTGAGTGCAGAGGCAGGAGAGTAGCATAAGAATTGAGAAGTGGGACCACCAATTTCATGCCAATATTGTTTTCTGCTGAAAATGAACAGAGAACTACTGAACAGAGAACTACTGGAGGCTTTTAAGAAGAGACTGGACAGCTTGTTAGAAATTCTGTTTAAATATAGCACCACAGAACAAACAAAGAGTACAGTCACCATGTGCTTTACTGCTCAACTGTTTTAACTACTGCAGGAAACAGGAATCTCTATTTACAACAAAAGAGCATAGAGTATATATACCATAGATCCAAACTTGTAAACACTGCTATCTACTGGGTGAATACTACTGTAGTTGTTGCATAAAAATACATTCTAACAATGAATTCCAACATAGCCAAGTTTGCAATGATATAGGGTCTCCTGCTTGAGGGGGAGGTTGGACTAGACGCAGTGGCCCCCAACCTTTTTTGAACCAGGGGCCGGTTTCATGATTATTTATTCTTCCACGGACCGGTACCTAAATAACGCAAGTCTACACCGCCATCGGGACGGCTCTTCATTCAAAGCCGCCCCCCACCTTTGACGAAACTAAGGCGCAAGCACCCAAACGCCGCTTTCCAACTGAAAACCCAGAAGCAACCGAAAACCCGGAAGCGCCATCGAAACAAGATGGCAGCGCCCAAGCTTTGCGGCCCAGTAAAAAATGATCCACGGACCGGTACCGGCCCGGGGACCGGTGGTTGGGGACCCCTGGACTAGAGGACCTCCAAGGTCCCTTCCAACTCTGTTATTCTGTTATTGATTTATTTATATAGTTGTCCTCACTTTATGTGATTGTAGGTTGCTTACAATAAACAAATAAAATATCTAAAATAAGACAGTATAAAAAAAACCAAATAGAAATAAAGCACATACTGTAACATCCAGGTGCAATTTAATAAATCATCCACACAACCAGGAGATGGCTCTACCCCATGGCTAGGGCACCAGCTTTAACATGAAGTCATCAAGGCTTTAGAAAATGCCAACAGGAACAGGGCTAATCTAATCTTGGGTGGAATGATGTTCCAAAGGATTGGTGTCGTAGCAGTAAAGTCTCTCCTCCTGGGCCCTGCCAAATTGACACTTCTTAGTCAATGGTACCTGGATCATTTCCTTCCTCCCAGATTGGATAGAGCGGGTAGAAACAATTGGGGCAGTGGTGGGATTCAAATTTTTTTACTACTAGTTCTGTGGATGTGGCTTGGTGGGCATGGCATGGCTTGGTGGGTGTGGCTTGGGGAGCATGACAGGGCAAGGATACTGCAAAATCCCCATTCCCTCCCCACCCCACTAACCTGCTTTCAACTCCGTTCTCTTGTGCAGGGCAACAAAAGAAGTCCCAGCCAATCAGCTGGGACTCGGGAGGCAGAAAATAGATGGGGGCGGGGCCAGTCAAAGGTGGTATTTGCCAGTTCTTCAAACTGCTCAAAATTTCTGCTACTGGTTCTCCAGAACTGGTCAGAACCTGCTGAATACCACCTCTGAATTGGGGAGAGATGATCCCCAGAGTAATACAATTTGGTAATAGAGAAAGGCTCCGAAAGGGTAACAGTAAAATGTGATTTATCATTTGGGGTTTCATTTTTTGTGCCATTGAGCCAGTGCAGCAAATTGATGGTTCAATGTACTGTGCAAATTAGATTTATTCACTAATTAAGGGATTAGCGTGTTGCAGAAATGGAGCCATAGTGATCTGCAAAGTATAAAATAGAAGATAAAAGAAAATGAGTATTGAAGAAGTGGTTTAAACTTCACTCTAGATGATGCAATAGTTATGACTAAATAATTAAAGAGGAGTTTTGGAATGCATTTATTCGTTCTCCTATACTGATTATGGGTGATATACAAATGTTGTAACACAAAATGTTTAATTTAATTTGATGGTTTTCAGAGTTTGTTGCAGTGAATTTTAGTGTCTCAAAAATTTCATGTTTCTTCATGTGAAAAACAACCTAAAATCAAATTAATCAAAAGTTGTAGATCTATGTTTCTGATGCAATGTGGTATCCAATGTATGTATATTCTTGTTTGCGGGATCTAAATGCAGTGAGACAATTTGACATAGTACCATTTCCTAAAATTCTCTGCAATATTTAGGTCATGCAGCATCCTTCATGACATAAAACTAGGTCCCAAGGCTTCTCTGGTATGAAAACATTTAATGTAATTGACTAAAGCTGCCCAATATGCCACATAGCATATCAATATGCTGGCTGGTATGCTACATAGCATGGAAGGATCTATTATCTAATACTAAATGACTAAATCAGGGGTTATTAAAGCTTAAATAATCTATGGCGAGAGAGTGAGCTGTAAGTCTAGTTCAACATTCAACAAGTCTAGTAGTGTAGTGTATGAGTCTTACGGTATATGCATTTGGGATTTTCCATTTCCTATTTCTTGATATAATAGGTTCTCAAGGAAGGGATGGGTTACTTTCACTAAAAGCTTGAAGTTCTTCTTTGGAAATAATGTGTGAGATTAGTTTGAAAACAACCTAAGAGTTTGAAAAACATATACCATCCTAGAGTCAGAAGTTGCTCAGTTCTGGATTTAAAGTGTTCGTTCCCTTTGGACGTCATGAAGATCCAGGATTTATTTGGACAGAATTGGATTGCAGTGAGCTTGCGGTTTGGATACTTTCCATTTTCTCCTGTTACTTTTTGTCCACTTTAAAATAACTAAAGCATATTGTTCAGTGGTGGGATTCAAATTTTTTTTACTACTGTTCCGTGGGCATGGCATGGCGTGTCTTGGTGGGCATGGCAGGGGAAGGATACTGCAAAATCTCCATTCCCTCCCCACCCCACTAACCTGCTTTCCAGCTCTGTTCTCCTGTGCAGGGCAACAAAAGAAGACCCAGCCAATCAGCTGGGACTTGGGAGGCAGGGAATAGTTGGAGGTGGGGCCAGTCAAAGGTAGCATTTGCCAGTTCTCTGAACCACCCAAAATTTCTGCTATCGGTTCTCCAGAACGGGACAGAACCTGCTGAATACATCACATGATTTTGATTCAAGCATTGGCAACCAGCATGTATTTCTGACAGTGCCAGTGTCCGAGGTCACACAAGATTGTCACTTGCAACCATTCCACCCAATTTCCAATAAAAAAGCTCAATGGGAAAAAAATTCATGATCATGTGATGTCTCACATGGTCCTAAAATCAGGTGCAGTCACATGATGCCCCACTTAACAAACACACCAGTGAACAATGAATTTTCTAGTTCAATTGTGGTTGTAAATAAAGGATTGCGTGTACTATATGGGTGATATCTAATTTTTCTTTATTGCAGCACCAATGAAAACTATGGCAGAGTTGTTCTTAATCAGTATAAATCACAAGATAGCTTGCACAGGTACAGTATCATTTAAATGTATATATTCTTTCCTATGCCCATTTCATCTGCAATGTTGCAATTCATTGTACAGTTAATAATTTGTGGTAAGAACCTAATGTATTAATTGAGTAAAGTCAGGCCTTTGGTTTAATTCAGACACTGGTATTTTCTGTTACTTGATTGTAATGCAGTAATTTCTTCATTGTTTAAAATAATCATGAAGTCTGACGTACCCATTAATTCATGATATAAGACATTTTGATAGTCAGCCCTATGAGTAGCTTAATTAATAATAACTGCACTATGTAATTTTAAAAATGAAGTTGATCCAACCAACCTTTTTAGAGCATTTTTCAAGAGGAAATAATTAGCATTGAATTTGAAATAAAAATGGCATCTCCTTTTATGATGACGTATGTAGGACAGGAAAAAATAGTACTTCCTGTCTCTTGAACAGTTTATTCATTCAATTGAGATCTGGTATTGCTGGTGTTGACATAATTAAATATATTATGGCTGCCATTTCTAGGTTTCAAATGTTTGGATGACCAATAGAAGACAGACCAGGAAACACAAATTTCTTGTTTTCATTTCTGGCCATTCAGAAAATAACTTTTTCAGCTCAAATATGGTAACCATAATGGAAAATGATTTTATCTTAGTTTTGTTTTCACATACAACATAGAATCAAATTATGGAAAGAAGTGCTTTTATTTATTTTAAGGATAAAAGTATTAGTTATATGGTTTAAACATGCTTGGGATTAAACACATGTCCATCATGCAACAAAAAACTAAAATAAAAACATAAAATAAAAATTAATAAAATATAATAATAATAATAATAATAATAATAATAATAATAATAATAATAATAATAATAATAATAATAATAATAAATTTTAAAAAGCCCAAATAAACTAAAAGGGAAGACTTGATGGACCATTAAGTCTTTTTCTGCCATCACCTTTGTATTTTCTATGTTCCTAATTTTGTATAATTGGATTTAGGCAATTTCTGTCACTTGTGATAGAGATAATCTGTAAAAACATTGCAAATAACAAATTTGAGAATGCTGAAATCTCACCTGGAAATTAGTTACTATGACCAATTCAACATAGATTAATTGAAATTGATATGATTTAGACATAAATAACAAAAGCTTATTACACTCTCATTTATAGCATATTTAATTATGAAGATAATTTTAAAATATTAAATGTGTGTCATTTAATAAAGAAAATATTATTATTAACAATATTTTATTAATTATACTATTAGCAGAGATGCTGTCATACTTTCGTTTATTCCATAGTTCCAAAGATAATTTTATATAGACTGAACAGCTGGTAAATGTCACACCTCTGTGAGAACAGTAACTAATTAATAATAATTATTAACTATCATGAATTAATCTTCCTTTCTTAATAATAGGAACCTAGAAGGGGAGAAGAATGAGAAAGCTATGCTTAATCGATATAGATCTGATACTACTTTAGACAGGTAAAAATTTAATTTATACTTGTTTTGTTTTGCTTTTGTACAGTATTATGCAATCTGGATGAAAGCAAATTTATTCAGGTTAAAAAGCTTTATTAATTTAAGTGTTTCTTTTGCATTTTATGACTATGATGTAACAGAGTTTTATATTTGAATTAAATCTCTCTGCTAAGTTTTAAGCTCATCTGCAATTCAATCCAATGTAGGTGTGTACTCAAAAGTGACTTAAGCTAATATATTTTATGAAACAGGCCAGATAAAAAGAGGATTGCAGATTCAATTCACTTGTAGGTTTGGAAAGACTAGACAGCAGCAAAGAGGTGTAGAGAAAGCTTTAACTCTCTGCTCCTGCTATATACAATAATTGTCTTGTTTTGCATCACAGATCTGACACCCTTAAATGAGTCTAAGCTAAGTTTGAATGTTGTTGTTGTCAAGACTCACAATCCTCACAGCAATTTGAAAGATAGGGGGAATATAAAACTTGGTAGTAAATGCCACAGCGGGTTTTTGGCTTCTACAGATTGAAGTTTCGCATCTAAGATTGTCTGAAAAAATTAATTAACTCAAAATTATGCTATAAAATTATCAGTTCTATATTTCTCAGACCAGAGCTTGGGCTACAGTTTAGCTGTCTTCTGTATTTTGTATTTTCCTAAGTATTGTGATGCAGTTCTCGGCTTTAGGATACCTTTTATTAAAAACAAAATCAACATGTGTAGTATACCAAAGACACAGTTGTTAAAATCAATACCAGTTTAATATAGAAAAACGCTATCTCGTTTCAATTACTTAATGAAAAAAATATTGTGAAAAGAATTAGTTCACTTGGTAGGAATATGGTCCAAAAGAGTTTAGTCTCTACATCTGAGAGGAATTTACCAATCCAATTCCATGTTCACCTCCCGGAATTTATCAGGACTTCTAGATGAATGCTATTAAAGCCTGGTGCTTTATCACATTCCAGATTATCAATACCAGCGTCAATTTCCTTTAAAGAGAAGAGACAAGAGCAGTGGTGGGATTCAAATTTTTTTACTACCGGTTCTGTGGGCGTGGCTTGGTGGGCGTGGCAGGGGAAGGATAGTGTAAAATCTCCAGTCAGAGGTGGTGTTTGCCGGTTCTCCGAACTACTCAAAATTTCCACTACCGGTTGTCCAGAACTGGTCAGAACCTACTGAAGGCCACCTCTGGGACAAGAGTACTCAGAAGGTATTCAGCCTGACTGCTAAAAAAGCTGAAAGCACTTTCTCGATGAAAGTGTTTTTCACCTTTGGTGCTTTGGAGAGAGATACAACTCGAGAAGCTGTTTGGTCGGGAATTACATTGGGTGTTTGTTGTGTAGGTTTTCTACCTCCACTCAAGTTCCTTAATAGGTTTCTGCTGAATTTGCTGAAATTTAGTGATTCTGTGTATCGTTCCCATTTCTTACGTCGAGCTGCACCCAAGCGGTGTAAAAGATCATTGGCGATCTCCAGATCACTG